TTTTTCTTCCATCTGTAGTAAACCATACTTGAAAGTCTGAAATACTTCCACTTGGTGGTTCATATAACTTTGTAGGTTTTTCGTAAAAGTCATTCATCAGACATAAGAAAGAGTTTTGAGCGCCAGAAAATGAAGCATGAACTATAATAGCATCTTGGTCGAAAACATTTTCATATGTTCCATTAGGGTTTTCGACTTCATAAAAGTCCGGGTGTACTGGATATTCTGCAGGCTGATTTAACATCCTCATAAATCTATACCATGCCAAGTTGTTATATTTTGTAGAAATATAAACGTTTTCTCCAAGGTCTTCTATTTTATTGATTTTAACAGTTGCATTTTTCCTGTCATATATAATATCGAGATGGTACTCTCCTTCGTCAATGTTATACTGGTTTGCATATTCGAGATAGATATCGTTTATTTTTTCTTGAAAAGCTTGAAGAGTTGTTTCTAAGTTTACAAGCAAATTCACTTGTAAAAGTTTTCCCTGTTCAAATTTCTCATACGTACGTTTTTCTTTGTTATAGTATCGAACTTCAAAACCGACCGTAAATGGGAAACATGTATGGCTTCTGAAATGAACTTCATTCTACGAAAGCCAATAGCTTTTGTGACAGATGGGTCTCTTAGCCATCTTAATGGGTAGTCAAAACGATAGCCTTCATGCTTTACGGTCTCTGTCTCAAACTTTTGACCGACATTAGTAAAAAGTTCATCTAATGGTTTAGTTGTAGCAACTCTTGAATTTTCTTTTTCTATTGGAAGCATATTTTATCTAGAATAAAAATGTCGAAAGATATTGCTTCCATAAGAGAAATACAACACAACCGACAACTCATTATGCAAGCTCTAAATAAGAACACAACAAACTTTTCAAACTATTCTAAGATATCTGAGTCATTGAAGGATGGAAACTTAAAACTGACATTAAACCCAATGAAGATGAGTTTCTGTTTCAAGACAATAAGAACCATACTGTCTGTATAAATCCAACAAAAGGAACTTTAAACGAGAAACCTATAAATGAACTTCTTTGAAAGCAGATGTTGACAACAAAGCTGACAAAGAATATGTAGACGATGCAATAGCAAAAGAAGAAGAAAGAGCTAACAATGCTTATGCAACAAAAGAACATACTCATCCTGAACTAGCAGACAAAACATATGTTGACAATAAAATGTCAAGTGAAGTGACAAGAGCTGAAAACGAATATTCTAAAAAGACTCATATACATTCTATATCTGATATTACAAACTTACAAGAAACATTAAACAGGAAAAGTGACGTTGGACATACACATACAAGTTTTACAACTTTTACAGCAGATGATATTACACTAAACACAACCTTGCCAAGTAAAGCTCCAAAAATACCACCGGCAACAAGTCTTGTAGATACTTTGATATCTAATGACAATAGTATTATACATCTAAGCCAGGAAGTCAATGTGCTTAAACAAATTTTGCCGAATCTTATTTACCCGGTTGGCTCATTATATGTTTCAATGAACTCTACCAGACCAGAAGTAGTACTTGGTTTTGGAACTTGGACTCAAATAGTCGACAGGTTTTTGTATTGTGCAAACTCTTCAAAGGAAACAGGCGGAAGTAAAACGATTTCAGGTGAAAATTTACCTGCACACAGTCACTACGTAGATTTAACTACATCTCTAGAAGGTTGGCATAAGCATAGATATTGGGATTGGACAGGAATGACAAAAGGTAAAGGATATGATGTTAAAGACGACGTTCAGTTTGCTATAAATTGTTACGTGGATGACACTCAGGGAGGAGGAAGCCATACACATTTGGTTTCAGGATATACGCAAACAACGGGACAAAGTAAAGACTACATGCCACCTTACATGACAGTTTACGCATGGTATAGAATTGCTTAGTCGTCATTTTCAACTTCTTTAGCATATTCGTCAGGAGTTGTCTTATATTTGTTAGGAACTGTCTTTGAAAGTATACCACTTGAACTTTGACAAGTTTGAAACGAGGTCTGACAATAGTAGTTTTATCTTCTGCTTGCAGTGTGTACATTTTGCCATGTTTGCCTAAAACTTCATAATATTCTCTTGTATACTTTCTTCTATTTTACGAACACGAATGTGAGTACCTGTCGGGTTCCCATTGTTGTCATAGTCAATAGTATTTTCATATGGGTCGCGTTTAGGTATTTTCTATTTTTACTTTGTCACCCTTTGAAGTTTGAAGCCCGGCATTCTTTCTTGTTTGTCTCTTTTGACTAAATTATTAAATATATAGTCTTTCTCTAAGTCAGGGTTGTTTTTCATTTCTTCGGGGGAGTGGTTCCCAAACCTTTTTGTTTACGGTTATTGTAAATATTTAAAACTTGTCTCATCTTTGCCATGGAGAAGTGTCTATACTTGTCGTCATATGACATTTCATTTGCTTCACCACCTTGTGGTTGGTTTAAGTCTCTTAATATTTTTATACAACCGTCAATGACACCGAGCAGAATGGTTTTGGTCGACAATGAAATATTGGTTTACATTTTTTGAACGCAGATAGTTTTTAATATCATCTGATTTGAAAGAACTTTCACAGTCAGATGTCAGTTTTGTTGGATGGTATTTGTCAACGAATATTGTCAAAGCAGTTTTCACATCTAAAATATTTTTGGACCATAATGGTATGGCTTCACAGTATCTTGTGTTTTGACCAACAAATATTAACCAGTATGGAGGTCCATCTTCTCTATACCTCGGAATGTTTTCCAAGATATCCATAAACCAAGCATTTGGTGTTGAACTAAAGATTTTTATCATGAGTGCTTTTTTTGTTGCCTTAGAAACATAGGGGTCCTTGTTTGGATTCGTCATTTTTTAACCCATAAGAAATGGGTTTATTTGGCGCATTAGCAGGAGTTGCATCCAGATTTTTGCCCGCAGTGGGAACAATAGCTAGAGGTGCGTTTGGAATTGGAAGGAAGATTTTGAGTACATTAGGTATACTGAAAGAGAAAGCACAACCTATTATACAAACTGTACAGAAAGGTTGGGATGTAGCACGAGATGCAGCAAATCTTATTCCAAATCCTGAAACAAGAGGAAAAGTTCAAGGATGGATGGACAATGTAGGAAGACAAGCAGGAAACTATTATAACAAAGCAAATGACTACTATAACCAAGCAGGACACTATATGGACCAAGGTGAAAGATTCTTTAACAGAGGATATAACCATGCACAACAGTGGGTAAACAATAACCAACCGCAACCACCTCAAACGTGGGGAATGTAAATTTTTTACTGAGATGAAATGAACAATACAGCATTGAGACAAATGGGTTCAAGATGGATTTGTCGACTTCCAGCAGTTACACCACGTGTTTGTCAAGTTCTTCCTATACCTCAGGAAGTTTTAGACCGACTTAAAAAACCTAAACAACCAGTTGAAAACAAACCAAACTAAAATTTTTTACTGAGATGAAATGACGAAGAAGTTGAAACGGTAGATTTGACACCACAAACAAAAAGTTCAGAACCATTGTCAAAACCTGTCAAAGAACTTACAGATGAAGAGAAAAATTCAATAATAGAAAGTGCCAGGTCTGGAAATACAAACCCTAACTACAAAGTCACTTTTCATAGAAATGGAACGGCTAGTATCTCAAAAAAGAAACAGACTCTCACAAATAAAAATTGAAGTCTGAAGGAGCTTTCGAGACAACAGATGGAAAAGTTTACTTCACTGACCAACAGTTCATTATAGAACATCTCATTGACTTAGAGTCGAAATATTCTAAACTTTACAACAAACACAAAAAGGTTGAAAGGAAAACAAAAACAAATGGCATATGATATTTATGAAGATGTTGACGACACAACTGTTCCTGCAGGTGGGGTAAAACCCGAGGAACCGAAAAGTGACGAAAAACCGATAGAAGAAGAAAAACCAAAAACTGAAGATAAACCAAAACCAAAGTTTAGTTTCCAAACTAAACCAAGTCAACCTTCATTAGCTGGTATGGGTTGGCGTCAAAGACTTATGGCAGCAGGCGGTTATGTTAAGTAAAGAAAAAAAATATTTTTTTATTTTTATTTGAAATGTACGCTGAGTTTGTTGGAGAAGACCGTTGGGAAACTTGTTTGTTAGATGAGAAATATGAAATGGCATACCATTTTAAAACAATATATTTTTAAAAAAATATTTTTTTATTTTATTTGAAATGTACGCTGAGTTTGTTGGAGAAGACCGTTGGGAAACTTGTTTGTTAGATGAGAAATATGAAATTCACTGTTGTGAGTCATTTGAAGTCAGAAAAAAAAAGACAAAAAGAGTTTTAAGCGAATGGGAGCGAAATGACGGATATGCTATGATGAGGATGGGTGGAAAAAACTATTTTAAACATGTTGTCATTGCAACTCATTTTATACTGAATCCTAACAATTTACCTTTTGTAGACCATATAAACCGTATAAGAAACGACAATAGACTTGAAAACTTACGTTGGGTCACTCGTTCTGAAAACAATAAGAACATAGGCAAATTTGGAGATATTGTATTCGAATTTGTCGACGAACTAGAAGATGAAACAATTGAAATTACAGACTATGGCAAGCATACGTTTGAGTTTTACTACTATAGCGAAGAACAAGACTCTTTCTACTTTTATACCGGCGTAAACTATAGGAAATTACAAGTATATTTTACTAAGGCAGGCTATGCTTATGTAAACACTAGAGATACAGATGGAAAACACGTTAAAATACTTCTTAACAAATTCAAGAAGCTATATGGCATACCATTTTAAAACAGTATATTTTTACATATATTAAATGCTTCAGGTTGAAAAACAAAGAACAAAAGTAGCAGATACAAAACCATTAGACTATATCTTTACAAATGCTGGTAGGAATATTTCAGATGAAGAAATTTTATCCCGAGCTTACAGGTTTGACTATCCAATTGGTTGCGACAAGTTCGACTCAGATGAAAAGATATACTATGTCGACCTTAACGCTGCGTACATGAGGTTTGTCCAATATATTCCGACTGGAATTCCAAACGAAGATGGTGAGTTCCCGGGAAGGAACTATACAGTTGGAAAAGTCATACAACAACTGTATGATATTAGGAAAGCTTCAAACCCCAAACTTGCAATGACACTCAAATTGCTTATGAATTCGACATGGGGATATTCCATTAAAAAACCTCAAGAGATGAAGAGTAAACATTATGAGAAGGTCGACAACTTTGTTGAAAGGTTTTCTCCTTTTGTTTTGAAGTACGAATTCACTCAAGGTCAAAGTGGCTTAGTAACCACATTAAAACCTATTGTCGAACATTGGTCTTACCCTCAGTTCGCAAAGGCAGTCCTTGACAACTACAACAAATTCTTCTCCGAAGTCAAATCCAAAGTTGTGGTTTACTATGAGAACATTGACGCACTCATGACGAACGAAGAAGGATACAACAAACTCATTGAAATGGGTTTAGTCGGTGAGAAGATGGGCTGTTTTAAGCTAGATAAGGTATTTTCCGAAGTTCATGTAATATCGAAAAGGAAATATTGGGGCATACTTGAAGACGGCACAGAAATAAAACATTGCATGAAGTAAAAAATTTATTTTTTTAAAAGTGACATTTTTTTATTTTATTTGAAATGTACGCTGAGTTTGTTGGAGAAGACCGTTGGGAAACTTGTTTGTTAGATGAGAAATATGAAATGGCATACCATTTTAAAACAATATATTTTTACATATATTAAATGCTTCGGGTTGAAAAACAAAGAACAAAAGTAGTTAAAATGAGATGTTTACTGAACTGGTTGGATGTCGCCTTCTGTAGTTATGTAGAACGGCTGACCCGAGAAGTGAAGGAGAGACTGAATTGCCAATTTCATATGGGGTAGGGGGTTCTCCTTGTTTGGTATTTTTATCCAAGGACGTTTGTTTAGGAACTTAACAAGAGCTTCTCTTTTGGCGTCCTTTATGCCATCGTAGGCTGTCCCGTCTGGTATTTGAATTGGAATTCCAGTCGAAGTCTCGAGCTGAAGTGTAGACCTTCCAGAAATAGTGGTAAACTTGACCTTGGGCTTCATTACCCTGCGCAAGTACTGCTTAACAACTTCATTTATCTCTATAAGGTAAATTGCCTCGTCAAATCCTTCTGGCATTCCGAGTCCTTCCATCCGACAGGAAAATATTTTCCCGACAACTGGAAAAAATTTTCCGGACAAAGGGAAAAATTTTTCCCGACGACAGGAAGAACTCTTCCAGTTGTCCGTCCGTAAACCATTCAAATTTTCGAAAATTGAGAACTTTTTGGTCGAACTTCAGAAAAAGTTCTTCCTTCCGACAGGAAAAAAATTTCCGGACAAAGGGAAAAAAATTTCCTTCCGACAGGAAAAGTTTTTCCTTCCGACAGAAAAAGTTCTTCCTTCCGACAGGACACAAACGAATGTCCGACGTCCCTCTTCCTGAACGCCTTCCCAAACCAGAGGAACCGAAAGCACCAGCCCCTACACCTCAGTTCCAGCAAGTACCTCCGAATTACTACCAATTCCAATACAAATCGAAGAAGGTCTGAACCGCTTACGCAAAGAGTATGCTACAGCTCCAATTGAGAGAAAGTTGTTCCCGGACCAAAAAATAATGTTTAGGGTAGAATGTTAGATCTACCCTCTTTTCTACCCTCTTTTCTAACCTCATGAATTTGTCATGAATTTCCTTAAGATAGAAAAAATAAAGTTAGTTTTATACAAAATTCATGCGGGAAATTCTTGAGTTTTGGTTGAAAGAATACGGTGGAGCCAAAAGTGGCTCGACCTCAAAACAAGCATTTTATGAGCTTACAAAGGGTGTTATGAATGAATTCAGCAACATACATCCTGACCTCGTTCATTTTGTTGCTAAATTCAGTAAAAATAATGTTTAGGGTAGAAGGTTAGATCTACCCTCTTTTCTACCCTCTTTTCTCACCTCATGAATTTTCATGAATTTTCATGAATTTTCATGAATTTCATCGTAAATGTTTTGTCGAAAGTTCTTCATCGTAAATATTTTGTCAAACATGAACGTAAATGTTTTGTCGAAACTTCATCGTAATGAGCGTAAATGACCCAAAAATATAATTTAGGGTAGAAGGTTAGATCTACCCTCTTTTCTACCCTCTTTTCTACCCTCTTGAATTTTCATGAATTTTCATGAATTTCATCGTAAATGTTTTGTCAAAACTTCTTCGTTTATGTTTTGTCAAACATGAACGTAAATGTTTTGTCGAAACTTCATCGTAATGAGCGTAAATGACCCAAAAATAATGTTTAGGTGAAGAGGTGCGATCTCACCTCTTTTTTCACCTCTTTTCTCACCTCATGAATTTTCCCGAAATAAAAAATAAAGTTATTTTTATTTATTTTTTTTATTTTGTATAAAAAATATGATTTCAACAATCGGCACAACAGCAATACAAACAACTACAGCACCAAACTCGCTAGTCATGAATCCAACATCTATGTTAGTAGAGATGAAAAGCTTCATTCCTTCTTCATATACTTTCGAAACAAAAATCCAGAAGATAAAGCAAGAACTTTTAACAAGTAATTTAGACTGTAGTGCGAAAGATGAAACAAATGAACAGTATCTTTATGACATGCAGGACATTATTGACCATTTACCCAAATTGCCTGAAATTCAGCAACAAAAACTCACTATTCCTGAATTCGACGAAATTGAAGTGAAAGCAACTGACTCAGTAGAAATAAAGAAGTTCATACGTAAAGTAAATTATGAATTCCTTGGTTTTCATTGCAACCATAAGGTTATGGACAAAGATTGCGACATGGTATATAAGAATGTTTCTGACCTTTACAAATCCGAAGAATTTAAGACCTACGACAACTTTGTTTCGTTAGTTGCAAAATGTGTTTGGGAAATAAGAGATAAAGATAGTAGGGGTAAGGTATGGAATGAACAGATAAAACCAGCAACTTTTGAGTTAAAGAAAACCATTGACGCCTTGGTTGTTCTAGCAGGCAAGGTTTCAGAATATAACGCAAAAATGAATCCGCAATATTCAAAATGTAAAGCAGCAATTAGGAAATATAACTACTCCGTCAAAGAGATAGAACGTATGCGAAACGACTATGCAGACTTAAAGAAAGAAATGACAAACATTGAGTTTGAAACAGTTGGAAAGATAGACAATGACACCAAAGTGGTTAGAATTGGTGATTTAAACGTAAGATACTCAAAGAAATACAACAAATATTCTTTGTCAGACATTATAACACCATCTGGAAAGAAAACAAGCCACTGGGTTATAAATGCTTCAACTCAGAAAATTTTGACAAGAAATCCTGAGCTTATGATATCGGTAAAATTCTGTGGAACTACAGCATATCTCATAGACAAAAGTCTTATACCAATAGTTTTGTTATGGTTAGACCCAGTTGTTGGATATAACTTCATAACATATGGTTCGTTCGACTCAGAACGTTGCAGTGAAGGCTTACTTTACATCGTTCAGAAACCGAAGGACTTCAACACAAAAAGATATAAGATAGGAAGGACATATAATATAACTCTAAGATATGACAGTACAGTCAATAGAGTCAGGGTTGTGTTTGTTCATGATATGAGAGCTGCAGAAACAGAACTACTTGAAAAGTTTGAGAAAATGTATGGTGCTCCCACGAAAGGTAGGGAAACGTTTGAAGTAGATGAGATAGATAAAGCTATAAAATTATTTGACGAAGTTGCTGAAAAATACATGTAAAGCGTTTATTTTCTGACTTTCACAAAAGACCAAAAATAAAGTTAGTTTTATTTTTATTTATTTTTTTATTTTTTTGTATGTAAGATATGATTTCAGGGCATATGTCAAACCGTTGAGTTTTCACAAAATTTAAAAAATAACGTTTACCATGTAAAACGTTTATAAAATAACTGGGGTAGAAAAGAGGGTAGAAAAGAGGGTAGATCTAACCTTCTACCCTAAACATTATTTTTGTCTGATTTACGCTCATTACGAAGAAGTCTTGACAAAACATTTACGAAGAAGTCTTGACAAAACATTTACGAAGAAGTCTTGACAAAACATTTACGAAGAAGTCTTGACAAAACATTTACGAAGAAGTCTTGACAAAACATTAATATATAAAATTCATGAAAATTCAAGAGGGTAGAAAAGAGGGTAGAAAAGAGGGTAGATCTAACCTTCTACCCTAAACATTATTTTTGCTGAATTCAGCAACAAAATTCATGAATTTCCTTAAGATAGAAAAAATAAAGTTAATTTTATTTTTTTTATTTTTTTATTTTGTATGTAAAGACAGATATGTCAACAACAGAGAACACAACAACAGTTATAGTCCATGAAGCTATAAATGAAGAATATGAGTGGGTTCAGTTTAACAAACAGTTACGTCTCATTCGTTCGGTCAAAGACGATATGTACCAAATGCAAAGTATTTTGACAGCATGTTTTGCACCAGATACTAAGGTTCCTAAAGACTGGTTTAGGAACCAAAGCACACAAGAACTTTTGAGCGAAGCACAGCGAGACCGACTTTTTTCTGAAAATCGTGAAGAACAGCGAGTAAGTAAAAAACCCCAGTCGCCTAAAACTCATGAAAACAGTGAAGAACAGCGAGTAAGTAAAAAACCCCAGTCGCCAAAACTCTATGAAAATCGTGAAAAATTGCCAAATGGTTTGAGAGGTTGGTATGTACATAGACTTCTTGTAAATGCTGTTGCAATGTGGGCTTCACCTCGCTATGCTTGTTATATTTTCATGATGTTAGATGAAATTCATAGACAAGAACGTGGAGAGCTAGAGAACAAGCTTGAAGCAAAAGACAAAAGCATTCAGAAAAGAATACCACGTTCGGTACCAAAAGGAAAGGAAAAGAACTATAAGTATATGATTTATACTGAAGAGATGGAAAATGAAGAAGACAGAGATATGGTTATGTTGCATTTAGTCAGAAGAAACAACAAAAGCTTTTACGACCTTGCTAAGATTTACAAATCTGACAGAAATTGGTTCTATCGCGAAAACTTACCGATTTCAATGACACCGAATGAAGATGTGAAACAAATAGTTCAAGATACGTTACCTCAAACACACTATGATATGAAAGGTTGTACAATTCTTACATTCAAAGAAGATTTGCCATTACTGAAAGAAAAGATAACAGAGTATTTTGACAACTTCAAACAAGCAGAGTAGATGAACCATTTATTTTTCAAGCTTGACACCAAAGATGGCTCAGGTAGCTCTATAAGGTAAATTGTCTTGTCCGAGTCCTTCTGGCATTCCGAGTCCTTCCTTCCAACAGGAAAAAAATTTCCTTCCAACAGGAAAAACTTTTCCTTCCAACAGGAAAAACTTTTCCTTCCTACAGGAAAAAATTTTCCTTCCTACAGGAAAAATTTTTCCAGTTGTCCGTCCGTAAACCATTCAAATTTTCGAAAATTGAGAACTTTTTGGCCGACCTTCAGAAAAAGTTTTTCCTTCCGACAGGAAAAATTTTTCTTTCCGACAGGAAAAGTTCTTCCTTCCGACAGGAAAAGTTCTTCCTTCCGACAGGAAAAGTCCTTCCTTCCGACAGGAAAAT